CCCGAGGGAATCCGAAACGTCAGGAAAATAAATTCCTTGTTCCAGTGATCGCGTCTTCTTCCTCTGGACATTTAATAGTTTGGTGGAGCCTTATCGATCACATGGAGGGCTTTGCTGGGGTCACCAAGACGTCCGAAATCAATCATCTGCGCCAAAATGGAGCTGTCTGTGCTCCGGTACCATTTTGAAGCAGATGATTGGTGGAAAAACCTTCGCATTGAAGTCCATTTATTTGTACACTTGACTGACCCACCGCTGCAGATGAGAGTAATGATTTTCACGAAAGGTACCATGGCAAGTCTTACTGATGGAGATTGATTCGCGTCACGTTTAAACAATCAAACAGTTCTCTCAGGTATCTGATTGTTTATTTTTATCCACCTCCCCTTTCAGTTTAACCAATGGCATTCGTTGAGGAGACCCGCAATCGAGGCCACACATTTGCCAAGGCGCATCACCATTGCTGCAATTTCACTGGTGGTTTCTTTCTCATCCTGGGCCTCTGCTTTATCATTGCGGGCGGTGTTCTGGTGAGCCAGAACCAAGCTGCCTTTTACCAGGGTTTTAATGATAGCCAATCGAAACCAAACTACGGCTGGGACAATGACTGGGACAATGATGATTTCTGGGACGACGACAACTGGCGAAACCACAACCAAAAAGTCGTGTAAGCATCATCTTTTTTCTTACTGCATAATTCTCCCTACTCCTGAAACGCTTATCAAAATTCTAATATTTGCCCTTGATTAGCATATATTAATCGAGTATTTTTGTGTGCAACTTAATTTAGTTCAGTCAATTCTGGATGCCAGTTTTTGAGTAAACGTATGGCAACAGTACTGCAGCTCATTTACCCTGGTTCCCGCCCTGTTTCCTATGTAAAGGTTGATTATAGGGGTTCTTAGAGGGAGAATTAGGACAGGCAGTTGAATATACTTTAATAACTGCGAAGAAGACGGCTCGATCGCTGGGAAAATACTTTTATTCACCATCCGTCGCGGATTTGTCATCAGAGACATTAGCAGAAACGGATCATCTCCGTTTTAGTTACTTTAATAACTGCTATATGCTTTTTTGTTGTATTGTACTTAGAGGGGTTGTTGATTTATATATGTAGATTTGCCTAATCTGTATTTTCGTGTAACGTAGGGCGAAAAAATTTGATTATCAAAAAACGGTTTTCTTAAAATTCTTGAAAAAATAGTAATTATGGTAAGGAGGTCGTTTACTTCAACTCACTTTAGGTCCAACTTACTGATCTGGAGTCAGATTAGTGTAGTTCGCGGCCCAAAGGGCCCCACACACTTTCAATTAACATGCGGAACACCTTGCTGCCACCAACAAGCGAGAAGCACATTCAGCAACGCGTTTCCTATTTAAAATTTCTTCTACAAATGCCTTTCATGACCTATCCTATTTCCCCAACCCCAAACCACCTGTAACCACCGTTTTCACAGGACAAAATGCTGGTACTAGGGTTTTATGCGATGCACAGCTTAAACTTATTTTGCCAAAAAAATTCTATATATGATACTTTTTACGACCGTGAAATGCCCATTCATACACAAACACCACTACATATTTATAAAGCCTGTTTTAAGTTATCCCATTTGATCCACGTTGACTTCAAAATGTTACGACAGCTTCCTGAATTCATCCTCACAGCGTAGAAAAATACTAAATCTGGAGAGATTTATGGATCATAGTTATGTTTATATTCGCAAACTTTGCTAATACCGTAAGATGTCATTTGTTTGAAGTATATATTTTGACGAGGGTATTCCTTGTAGCCAAAGGAATGAAAAAAAGAGTAGTTTTTTTCAAGCGTAGTCCTAGGGTTTAGAAGCAGGGTATTTCAATATTGCAAAACCAGGCCACAAGCCGAAAGTTACTCGAGCGGTGACAATCACGAGCAAATGGTTACGGGTCCCCATTATATGCTCAGATTGGGCAGTATTTACAGTTCGTAGCGGCTACGCGGCTGCACGCGCGTGTTTCCTTTTTCAGCTACCGCTAGGGTTCATAACTGGTGTAGTTTTGGCTTAGCAGTCCGCTTTCGAGTGATTAATTGCCACGATTTCGTCCTCTCTGTCAGATGCGGGCTTGATAATTACGCGCCAATTATGTTCGCTGTCGTCGGAGTTGTTGCTAGACCTGGCCCTTCCCACGTAAGCGATTCCCCTGCTCAGGCGATGTCTCCTCAGCACTGAGAAGGGGAACGGCAAGTCGTTGTGCATGATGAGTGACTGCTGGCCTGAACTGAATTGAACTGTAGGCATTCGCGAAGCTTCCGTCAAGTTTGAAGATTGCGTATACAGCAGAATTTGTTGGAACCAGAAATTTCGTGAGTGCTCCTCAACTGCATCATCTTGCTGCATAAAGAAAGTAACGAATGAGAGATTATAAAAAAATTGAATTCGTAAAGAAGAGGTTATAGAAACAGGTCAGGAAGGTCAATCAGTAAATTGGGCTT